AAATCTTCTCGTTGAAAGTTTGTCTTAGAGAGTTTACATTCTTTAGATTAATTGACTCTGTAGAAAAGACGTTTTCTCCAGATCAAGAGTGTCTTAAGATAAAATTCTTACGGAATTAGGACAACAACGGTGAGACCCCCACATGCAGACCCCTCAACCTGCAAATGATTAGACTTAGGGACACTTTATTTTCAATTTAAAAAGACCTGACCTGCGGACATTGATTTGACCTGCAGACATCAAAATTTTCAGAAAATCAAATTTTTCATGCCAAATTAATAGGAACAGATATTTAGAACCATAGGATGGTAAGATCTATGTGACACAAATTGTTTTAAAATTCTTTCATCATTTTCCCCTCCATTTAGTTAATTTTGAAAATTATCTCAAGCATAGAGATTCTCAAAAAAGAAGGGATTTCCTTCTCTCTTTTTGTCTGAGTCACTTTTTAGAGGAAATTCTAACATCTCAATGTTCAATAGTGTACAGAGGTGCAGCATTTTTACTTAGTTTTTTCCCTGTATGTTCCTAAGAAACTGTTGAAAAAACATTATTCTCAACTTTTTGCTTGACAAAAAGCAAAGTTTTATAAGTTAATTTCAAGAAGGCTAGATTGAAAAAAGTGGAAAATTTCCTCTAAGAAGAGAAGAACATCCAACTGTGGAACTCAAAAAAGAAATCATAAAGATGCCACAGCTGGAGAAGAAAGGAAGAGAAGAGGACATTTGCTGAATTGATGTATCTTGACATTCAGCAGTAGCACAGAAATTGTGCATTTTGTGAATGTTTTATGTCCCCAATGCTCCAGATATTTTACATGAGTTGAAAAACACTGATTTAATAATTTTTTAATCAGTAGAATTTTTCCCTAAATTTTAAAAAGGAATTTGATCAATATTTCTTTCAGAAAACACAAATTAAATTATATATTGGTAGTCTATGGGAAAACAAGACTCAACGTAGGGACATTTTGACTTAGGGACACTCTTGATACACCAATTACGTCTGCATCTTAGGGTCTCACTGGAGGTTAGGTTATGGTGTTAGTTAGTTAGGTTAGGTTGTTATGTTAGGTTAGGTTGTTACATTAGGTTAGGTTGTTAGGTTAGGTTAGGTTAGGTTGTTAGGTTAGGTTAGGTTAGGTTGTTAGGTTAGGTTGTTAGGTTAGGTTGTTAGGTTAGGTTGTTAGGTTATGTTGTTAGGTTATGTTAGGTTGTTAGGTTAGGTTAGGTTAGGTTGTTAGGTCAGGTTAGGTTGTTAGGTCAGGTTAGGTTGTTAGGTCAGGTTAGGTTGTTAGGTCAGGTTAGGTTGTTAGGTCAGGTTAGGTTGTTAGGTCAGGTTAGGTTGTTTGGTCAGGTTAGGTTGGTAGGTCAGGTTAGGTTGGGTTGTTAGGTTAGGTTGTTAGGTTAGGTTGTTAGGTCAGGTCAGGTTAAGTTAGGTTATTTTAATGCTTTAAATATTTTAGTGCATATGTATATTTTATATATGTATATTCTAATGCAAGCAAAACCCAGCAAGTCACCCAAGGAAAGACTGGTTGCCACCAAATGAAAGACCAGGAGGCGGACGCAGTAAATAGGCGGACAGGCAGACATGTTATACGGGGGCCGGTTATATAGGGTGCCCCGTTAAAGCATGATAAGGTGCACCTAGACTTAGAGGGACACCTATGCATTATAAACTAAACAATTATATCTCAGTTGAAATCACACCCACTTGATGTCATTACACAATCATATATTTTATATATTTAGCCTGTTATTTGTTCATCAGAGTATCCTTGGATAATATATTTTATTTATTCAAAAAGTTTTTTACATGTGCACTGTTAATTGTCCCTTGGAGTCTTGGTATACATTTTACCTCGCCAAACCATTGCAGTTGAAGTCACTCAATGAGAGACTGTGCTCCTAGGGGAAAAAGTTGCCCTGAATGGAGTGGCGTCCAGTGGAAGTTGTCCCGAACGTCGCGCGATGGATCAGTTCGAAGTATCTCTAGTTGAATCCGCGTAACATCTTATCTGTGCACGGAAGTCCTGTTTTCTGGCAATGGTCTGAGGAGTATGAAGTTAATTTTCGGAATCCCTCATTCTGTATTCTTCCTGCGAGTGTTGTGTGATTTCACTGTATTTTTCAGTGGTGTGATGAAAATGCGAAGGGCCGCGTCCGTGACAGGAAAGACCGCAGAGTTATTCGTGCCTTTCCCGCTATCCATTCAAGTTGATCAGGAGAAGAGATTTCAGATGAATGAAATCTCTCATACCGAGATTTCAGATGAATGAAACCTCTTATACCGAGATTTCAGATGAATGAAATCTCTTCTGGTTCACTACAGACTGGAACGTTGTGCCAGCCCCCTTTTTTTCCGAGATGACTCAATTTTTAAATTGGAAAGCCGGAACTCGCATGAAAGTTTTGTGAGAACCCGTGAGACTGTGCAATTGTTTGTGATGCAGAGATCTCAGTTTTCGAATTTCTTATTCAAGCAGAGGCTCTGTACAGAGAAGTGCATATTTTCTTGTTGTTGTGACTGCAACAATGGCGAGTTTCATGGCCAAAGGCGTTTTGGTGAAGAGCTCGAAAGAGCCTCGTCTGTGGTCTCCGTTGGTGCATGCTGTCCGTGGTCAGTCCACGGAACCACCGGCAAAGGTTTGAAACGTTGTTGAGGAATTTCACAACATTCCCAGCGTGTGGATTTCATTCATCTTTTCATTTTTCACCCTTTTCCAGACAAAGTTTGGTCCATTGAAAGACGAGGACAGGATTTTCACGAACTTGTATGGCCGTCATGACTGGAAACTGAAGGGAGCTCTCAGTCGCGGTGACTACTACAAGACGAAAGAAATCATTCTAAAGGGAAAAGACTGGATCCTCAGTGAGTCCTACTTCTGAATTGAAGAGAAGAATACTCAGAGAAATGAATCGAGGGGTTTTTGTGCAGATTAATGTGTGATGAAATATTTACGGCGTAGTATTCGAGAATGTTACGTAAGACTGTTACTTAAGATTATTTTCTCCCTGCAACATCCCCAATTTTGAATTGATGTTGGAACTTTTTTCTTGTGCGTGTGTTTCAGATGAAATCAAGGCCTCCGGGTTGCGTGGTCGAGGTGGAGCCGGATTTCCGACAGGAATGAAGTGGGGTTTCATGAACAAACCGGACGACGGAAGGTAAAGGATCGGTTTTTTCCGCCAACATTACACGCTTAGGGATTTTTCTAATCGATTTTGATAAACCAGGCCGAAGTACCTCGTGGTGAATGCTGATGAAGGGGAACCAGGTACTTGCAAAGACCGTGAAATCATGCGTCACGATCCACATAAACTCGTGGAAGGTTGTCTCGTAGCTGGGGCTGCGATGGGTGCTCGTGCTGGTGAGTTTTTAGTAGCTTCTTTCGATTTCTCTCAATTAATGTTGGTGTCACGTGACGTTGGACGTTTCAGAAGGGCCAAGTTTTCTTCAGTTGAAAGAAATTCTGCAAGCTTTCACATGCTGTGTTAAATTACTTCAGCAATTTTGATATATTTCGGTGTCACACTGATATCTTATGGTGGGACTTCAGAAAAAGTTTGTTATAAGAAGTACATTTTCATAGAAGTATTGATTGGGAAGATGGTTTTAAATTACACCTGCATATATTCAAGACATATGTTTGGTGTTTTGAAAAACTAATCTTTAAAAAGAAATTCAAATGTTGATGACAAATGCTGTACTCACTCTTGATGAAAAGTAAACACTAGCGCTTTTCATGGACTTCAAGTTTTTATGAGCAATTCTTGCACAGAATTATACATGTGGATGTTTGGAAAAAGCTTCTAGTTGTTGAGCATCAGTAGGTTTTCCCTAGCATCCAAAACCCCTGTCAACATGATTTTCACAGGATTCATTTTCTGAATTTAATCCCCTTCCCTCAATCTATCCTAACCCAGAAACAATTCTGAAGAGAGAGGATCTTCAAGTGCATTTTTCCACCTTCCATGTACAATATATCCCAAGAACCAGTCACATGTTGAATAGGAAATTTGAGTCTGTGTCTGCCTTCATTTGGGAATTTTCCATTAGAAAAATCACTACATGTTCCTCAAAAAAAAAAGGTTTGTTGTACTGGAATTGAAGAGTTTGTTGGAACATGCTTTTTAGGATGTGTATCCAATATACGATTTCTGCCAGGACTGGAAGAAAAGTTTGATATGCTGAAACATTTGTTGTAAGAAGATTTTACTGGTATTTAATGTGTAGTAACAGTCACATGTTGACTGGTAAATTTGAGACTGTGTCTGCATATGGGATTTCTTCATTAGGAAAATCACAAAATGTTCCTTGAATAATGTTTGTCATACTGGAATGGAAGAGTTTGTTGGGACATGCTTTTTATGATGTGTGCCCAATAAAGGATTTCTGCCAGGACTTGAAAAAAAAAAGTTTGTTATGCTTAAACCTGTGTTGTAACAAGATTTTACTGATTTTTTCATTTGCAGCCTACATTTACATCAGAGGGGAGTTCTACAATGAAGCCTCCAACATGCAGATCGCCATCAATGAAGCCTACCAAGCAGGTCTGATTGGAAGGAATGCGTGTGGGTCTGGCTACGACTTTGACATCTACATGCACCGAGGGGCAGGGGCGTACATTTGTGGCGAAGAAACAGCGTTGATTGAGTCTCTGGAAGGCAAGCAGGGCAAACCCAGGCTCAAGCCGCCATTTCCTGCGGATGTGGGCGTTTTTGGGTGTCCTACCACCGTGTCGAATGTAGAGACGGTGGCTGTTGCTCCTGTGAGTTTTTGTTCTGTTGAAAGCTCATGTTTTAAATTGTGTGCTTGAAGCTACTGTATTTGAATACAGAGAAATGAATTTTAATCCCGAGTCCCAAGCTGTGTTTAACCTGGATTCCTGGATGAAAAGGTTTGTTACGTAACCCGAAGCAGTAAACCTGATCTTAGTTTCGGGAATGGCGGGTAGGTGTCGCCCGAATCACTGAACCTCCCAATAAAAGTTACGTAACTGATCATACGAAAAATTGTTTTTGCGAAGTTCTTGAATCAGTTCGGAATGATGAACGCTGTTCTGTCGTATATATTTTTTTGGAATAAGATGAGCAGAACTTCTTTTTTTCCAGCCCCATTTTTTATTTTTCAAATTCAACACAGAATTCTGGAAACGTGCCTGGGGCGGAATTTGAGTTCCCAGTGATTAAAGAATTTCTGATGAATTTTATATTTTAGAGGAACATGATTTTTTCGGTGGTTCAAAGTTGGGATTCTCGTTTGAAATTTTGGGTTCAGCCTATTTTTTTAAAAATGCCCAACCATTGGATTTTTTTTTTGCAGACAATTTGCAGGAGAGGAGGATCCTGGTTTGCCGGTTTTGGCCGTGTCAGGAACTCGGGAACGAAGTTGTTCAACATCTCTGGATGCGTCAACAATCCCGTGACGGTCGAAGAAGAAATGTCGATTCCTCTGAGGTGCGAATCCTACTTGGCACTGATGATGATTTTTTCAGTTTGGAATATTGATTTGTCTTTGCTGATTGAAGGGAGTTGATTGAACGTCATGCCGGTGGAGTCATTGGAGGGTGGAATAATCTTCAGGGTATCATCCCAGGTGGATCATCAACCCCGCTGATCCCCAAAAGGTATTACAGTACACATTTTTTTGAAAGAAACTTTTTGGGACAGCAGACAATGTTTGTTGTGCAGAATGTAATTTGTTGTGGTGCGATTTTTTTTAAATGACACACTTTAAAACATTTTCACATCAGTATATCAAGCCTTACTGGTATTATCAAATTTTTTTTTAATTACAGGTGAACCTTGATAACTCAAACCTCCTCAAGTCAAATTTTCTTTGGCCTTTTGTTTTTTTTTCTTGGCACAAGAAAGAAAAAGAAGCAATAAATACGTAAATTGATTTGTTTCAAAAGGATGTGAGAGACTTAATTGAGTGAATGAACAATGCTTTCAACTCATTTAAGAAGTAATTTCAGCCTCAGAATATTATAATTTGCAATTTTGAGCAATTTTTCTATGTTTCCCGACACAAAAGGGCTCTGTATTGTAACTCAATTCAAAACCTACCTAAGTAGAAACGTCCATAAGTCAAATTTTTTTGCTGGTTGCTTGAAGTTTGACTTGAAGAGGTTTGACTGTATTGCTTGAAAAGACTGAGTGATCTGAAAAGACAAGAACCCTGTTGGTCATATTTGAGATCAGAAAATCTCACACTGGTTCCTGCTCCAGTCAGGAAACTTTTACCTGGTGAAGCTATCAAACATTCCCCAAATAAGTTTATCACACTGGAATTGTCAAGTTTGTCTTAATGAGCTTGTTTTGACATGTAGTCGATTGGCTTTTAGTCAGGACTTGAGAAAAAGTTTTGTCATAATAAAAAATTTGTTGTAGTGAGATTTTACTCTTTACAAATGCTTTATTGAGGTTTGATCAATCTGTTTTCAATTTCTGATGTGATGCTGGTGACACCTGCCCAGCATTCCATGAAACAAAATCCCATGAATGCCTTTGAGGAATCTCCACTTTTGGTCAACATTTCCATGATAAAAGTTAAAAATTCCTGATGCATCTTTTTGGTTGAAGTTGAGCTGATTACTTCTTGAAAGGAATTGTTGATGATTTTGGTTTTTTTTCCCGTTCCTTCAACAGCGTGTGTGACGATGTGATGATGGACTTTGATGCCCTGGTAGCAGCGCAGACTGGGTTAGGAACAGCTGCAATCATAGTAATCGACAACAGCAGAGACATTATTCAGGCCATCGCCAGGTTGTCCGACTTCTACAAGCACGAGAGTTGCGGTCAATGCACACCCTGCAGAGAGGGCTGCAACTGGATGCAAAAGATGATGCATCGCTTTGGTAAATCATGACAAGAAAAAAAAGAGACAGTTTCGATGAATTTGAATTGTGTTTTCCAGTGGAAGGAAATGCCAGGGTTGAGGAAATCGATCTTCTGTATGAAATGTCGAAGCAGATCGAAGGTCACACCATTTGTGCTCTGGCAGATGGCGCTGCTTGGCCTGTTCAGGTAAGTTGATTCGAAACTGGAATAAGTTCTTGAAGAAATTCATGTTTCTGATCTGAAAACCGTTTGAATGTCTTGTCAAAGCTTGAGAAAGCTGCGCAAGACTGGGTGAAATATATTCGATCTTGTAAACATATAAAAAGAAATATTCTTTGAAGGATTCTCACAAGAGATTTATGATAATTAAAAGTCACTTCGACATATTTTTCCTGATGTGGGTTTTGATTTCTGCGTCGAACTTGGTCATGTTCGTGAATTTTTCTCATTGCATATTTGAGTAAACTCGCTTATATTTCAAACAAATTTCCTATATTTATACTAGGTGTCCCTAAAACAATTGGAATTCTTGAAATTAATTTAATTAACTCAAAGAATTGAATCAATTCTAGAAAAAATCGAATTACTCCTGCAAATAAATGAATTACTTCTGGGAGCAATCATTTTTTTTTCTGAAAATAATTACAACTTTCCTATAAGTTAGTAAATCAATTCTGAAGATGATTGAAAGAATTCTAAAAATAATTGAATTACTTCTGAAAACTATCAAATGCATTCCAGAAATAATTTAATTAATTAAAAGATTTGACGAATTGAATTGATTCTAAAAATGATTGAATTAATTCTAAAGATGATTGAAATGTTACTGGAAATAGTCAAGTTAATTCTAAAAATAATGAAATTGATTGAATACAGGATGACTAGGAATCAATGTAATTCGACGAGTTTTTGTTACAATCGCATGAAATCCTTCTGTCCTCAAATTAATTGAATGTCTGTAATAATTGAAGAAATTTGAGGCGTTTTCAAGTTTTGTTGTTGCCAAAAGGATTATTTTTGAAACCTTTTTTTGTGTGAAACGAATTTCCAGGGCTTGATCAGACACTACAGACCTGTCATGGAAGCTCGCATCAAAGCGTACGAGGAGAAACACGGTGCTGATAAACAAAAGAAAGCAGCTTCTGCCTATTGAAAGCAAAGGCCACACAATGGGAAAAAAGGACCCTGCAGTCAGTCAGTGATGATGTCTCGCTCTTCGACGCAGTTCTGAGGGTTTTTTTGTTTTGTTCGTTTGTCGAAAGCGAAAGTTTTTCTCCCAATCTCTCTGGAATTTGCCTGATTTTGTTGCAAAAAAACCCCGATTTTTTTAAAACATTGAAAATGTGCACTGGGAGACTTTTGCCTCATGCTACTAGACTTGTGAGTTCTCAGGATTTTCTGCTCTTGTCATGCTCCCGGTTTTCTGTCGCAGATGAATGAGGAATAAATAAATAAAAGTTGGTTTTTAGTGAAGATTCATCAATGTTAGTCTGGATGGATTTTGTGAACTTGCACTTGTCCAGGAAAATGACCAGAAGCCTTGCTCAGGTAATCAGATATCATGGATCAAATACAGTGGATCCTTTCTCAACAAATTTTCAATTGGTTCCGTGCAAAATTTTGTTCATTGTTATTATTTCATTTTCCTATCTGCACTTCAATGGAGAACAAATTGATCTATTCCTGGTACCCAAAATGCAATCAAAAATTTGATTTAGAAGAATATTTGATCAGAATATGCCGTAGCACCCTTTGTTTGACGATGATGTATTGTAGGGTTGCATGTAGTTCATTAAGAACTGAGCTCAAAATACTTCAAATCCAGAAAAGCATTCCTGTGTATGAGTAGGATACCTGTCCCACTAAAGTGAAACCTGAACTTTACAAGGCAAAGAAATTTTGAAGTTCAACAGTGGAAGCGAGTAGAATAATGTGCAAGTTCATTTGTGCAAACATGCATGGATTGCATATTTTTATTTGACTCTGCTCATAACATACATCCAATGCATACCCTTGTTTAGTCACACATTGATATTGAGTAGGCTTCACAGATGTTGTATGAGGTCAATTGAGTAATTTTTCTGCTTGATGTGTTCATTGGAGCTGGTATTTGGTTGTACCATGCAGTTCTGTGTCATAACTAAGTGTGTAATTTTTGCAGGGAAACATAATTTTATAGACAAATCATGGTCTTTTGACCAAGCAGGGATTTTTCTTTGAAAGGAAAGGTTTGTCAACTGAGAGGACTGTTGGGAAAGGGTCAACTGTGCATTAATCAATTGCAATGCCTGTTATAATTATTTCCAATAAAATGAGGAATGCATGATAATTAGCTGATCAAAGGAGTGAGAAGAGGGTTCACATATAAACCTCCCTGGATTGTTTTTCCCATGATTATTCTTTGAAAATTAAGTACCGTTCAAAGAAATATTGGTTTATTGTGGTCAGGTGATTATAATATCCTCCTGTTTACTGAAAATAAAAAATCTGCATACTTAAAGAGTGACATAGGGATGGATTGTAAAGTTTTAAAAAAACAGTGAAGAAGAAGAATTTGTGTTGAAGGTTCCTGCTTCTGCCTCCAATTTTTAATGGTATTTGAAAAGCTTATGGAATGGAAGTGTCAAAGGTTTTTGAAATGGGCAATTTTGGGTTTGTACTTTTTGTTGGCTGGTACACCACAGTGCCCATAATCTGGCAAACCTTCCTTCAAGTCAAAAACCCAAAAATTCCTGACCAATTTCCTTAACACACATGCATGTGTATTAATGACCTTAACTTTGAGCTTTTTTTTTGGCTAAAACATCCATTTTCTGAAATGCTTCATTTATAATTTTGCTATTAAGTTGAGGCTATATTTCAGATCACCCCATCTTGAAAACAATGCAAATCTCTATTTGAATATCTTTTAGGGATGTCGCTTGGCGACTTATACCTCCTATAGGTAGACTCTTATTCCTTCCAAAAACATAATATTCAACACACTTTTCTGAAACCTAAATCTACTCTGATAAAATTCAGAGGGTACCCACTTATTTTGTAGAGATGTCATATAAATGTGATGAGGCAAAACTTTGGCCTTGATTTATTGAAGAGTTCAGTCACCACAGTGCATGGGGAAATAATATGAAGATACCAAAGTATTTCTTCAAGGCACACTTCCATTATTATGCAATGGAAAAAGTGGGATTGTGATGGTGATGAATGACAGCTCATTATTTTACAGCAGGCACTTATCTGGCTACTTCAACATTTTAAACCAGCATCACATCATACAGTCAGATCCATCTCAGTACAGTACTGGATACCCAGGAAAGGAAACAAGATTCCTTTCACACTTTTATTGGGCAGCACTCTCTTGCAACAATGTTGCCAGAGACTGGCCAGTATTTTTTACTGCTTTGCCTTCAGAACAGAATCATAAAGAGATGTGGTTTTTGCTTTTGGGGTCAGGAGGGACAAACAAAAGCTTGTCCCCATGATAACTTATTTTTCATCATCTGATGAGCATAATTTCCCATCTTCAATTTAATTAACTTTTGATTGATAGCATGGTATTTATTTTGTTGGTTTAGCAATGCAGAAAATTTTATGTTTTTTTTTTTAATCAGAGGGCTTCATTGTAAGTGCAGATAAACCCAATCTGAAGCATTATTATTAAAAAACATGACTACACTTAATATTATGTAATTATGTTCACATGGAAAAAAAATTCCATCAGACATCCCTTTTGTCCATGCTGAATTAGTGTTTTATCAATACTGTAGTTCATTTGTCCATCAATTGAAGAATATTCTGGAAATAATTTAAGTTTAGAATGCCCTGTTATTTTGGCTGTTTCTAAAATTCGTTTTAGTTGTAATCCTCCAAAAACTGATCGATATTTTTTGCCAAAGCAGAAGTCCAAAAATGAAATGGTTGAATTTTATGTCCACTACAACATAATGTTGATTATTCTCAAAATTCTGCAATTTCTGAACTGTTCTGACAGCTTTTCTGACTGGGAAATGGGATATTTTCAACTTCTCTCTATATTCCTCATCCCTTTTGTGGCATAGGGAACTCATTTCCACATTCATATGTCATTCAAATTTATTTCAACCTAGACTTGAGAATTGGGCATTCTGGGAAATCATGTGATGGAATGGACTCATTCTGGAATATTTTAAAAATTATCTTGTTGGAGATTCCTCATGAAGTTCTTCTTGCTCTTCTCATGATATCAATCATACATTTAAATACATTTTTTTCAAAATGGATAGAAAAGTAAAATTGTTGTACAAAAGAGAATCCAGTCCCAAGAAAAAAAATTATACACATTTTCCTCTGTTATAATGATAAGAAAACAAAAAGGGAGCCATGAAAAAAAATGTTCCACTTGACCCTTTTGGTCAGTTGTCCCTGTGCAAGTTGGGGGGATCCACTCTCCACTGGAACCTGTCATTTTTAATGAGCAGCATATATGCAGTGAACAGCCTTTATAAGCAGTAGACTGCAAGTTAGTCCAAGAATGTGGCTCACCCTCTCTTCACAGATGGGGAAGGAAGATATTGGAGGGACACAGATCTAGCTAAAGTGATACCCTGCCCCCAGGCAGTTCATTTTTGAGGCTGATGTGGTGCAGGCAGTGTGGAAGTGATTTTGGAGTTGAAAACATGTGTGCTCAGTTCTTCCATCAGAATAATTTTGTGGCAAAATTTGGAAAAAAGTGTCATATAATAATTTCTAAAAAGGTAAAAGCACTTGATTTACCTTTTTCATGAGTGCAATTCTGTGTTTTTGATGACTGTTTCGAATTTTGATCTTTATGAATTTCTTTTGATGAAATTGTCCATATTTCTTCTTGGAATTTTAGATATGTAAATGGCTGTCGTAATTGTGTGACCAATGATGCTGAAAAGTGTGTCCTTAGCCTGTGATCAGAAGCTTAATTATTCAGATGTTATCCTGAAAAAGGGGAAACCTGTGATTGAAAAAATACCAATTACAGTCAACCCTGTCTAACAGACTTGATTTGTGCAAGGGGAAAGTCTGTTAGACGAAAAGTCCTTAAAACAAATTCAATTACATAAAATTAGTGTTGAAAATTGAAATTTTTAAAATTAAAAATTTCAATTTTCAACACTAATTTTAAACCAAAAGAAGTCTGTTTGGTGGATTTTGTCTGTTGGGCAGGAGGAAAAACTGCTTGCAGAGCTGGTCTGTTTGGCAAAAATCCCTTACAGGGAGGTCTGTTAGGCGGGGGGCCACTGTATAAGAATATGAGAATGTCACAGGGCTACTTTGTGTATGAGCAGTTCAAATTATCTTCAGAGTTTGAAATAAAAATTTAGAACATGTCTGCATCCAATTTCTCATGCCTTCCTTTTACCCTCAAGGAACATGTTTAATTTGTCATACCCTTATTCTCCTGCATTATGTATCAAATCAATTTATGAATTACTTTCAAAGCTTTTCTTTTAGCTCTCAGATGCTCTTTTTACACATCAAAAAGTGTTATCCAGGGACTTTCCAAAAATTGCTCTGTTATGTATAGTTCTAACAGTAGTCACTCACAGAGAGGTGGAATTATTAAAAGCAAAAGTTTGATAAAAGCCAGTATCAAAATTCAGTGTGTCATTGAAAAAAGAATATTTCCTGACACATTTTAATGTATAATAGGCTAATTTGTTCACCTTAACCTTTTTGCATATAAGCAAGATGAAAATGGGGTTTTCAGCATTCATCAGTTCAGTTAGTTCAGGACTTTGAAGATTTGGGGCAATTGGGAATATTTTCCAGCAGAAAAAGTTGAAAATCAGTGAAGGATCCTCTTTTAAAATCTGGGCTTGCTGAAGTGGGGTCACACTGTGACTGTTATGAAGATGTTTATGGGTGATAACAGCATTCTGACATAAGCTGTGAAATTGGGCATGATTGAATGCGATGCTGGTCACTGTTTCATCATCTCAGTCACATAATTTGACTTCATCAAAATCCCTGATCTATGAATAATTATTTCCTAATTGTTTCTTACTTATGTTACATATCAGATATACAATAAAATACTTCTATTTCAGATATGTGATGCAAATGGGATGTCAGTGCACCAAATCAAGACTGTGATCTCAGCAAGAAGTATCAGTGGACTAGCCAAGAATTGCAATTGCTTTCATAAAACATTGAATTCTGTTCTGTCACAGAAACTCAGTAAATTTTTCATGCTGCCCAGCATGATTCCATGGTACCCAATGAAAGGGGAATTTGAAAATGCTATGATCAGATATGCTTACTTCTGCTTGTTTTTAATGAAGAAATTTTTAAAATCATATTTGTTAATAATGAAGAGCAAATGACTTGTGGTTTGAATTGCCAATTGAGTCAAAAAATGAAAGTACAATGGTTGAGGACTTTTTTCCTCTAGATAGATTTTATCCCTCACAAACAAAAGTCAAGAAACAACTATTTTTTCCTGAACGTGACTCTGCTGTGAAACATTTTGAA